TGTGGAATAATAAATGGCCACACACAGTTGGGGAAAGAAAGATACCTGGCACACAATGATGAGCCAGAACGCCATGAGAAAGACAAGCGCTGTTAGGAAGGATGGAAATCAGGTATAATGATATGTCATTGAAGATCTTGTGTCCACAACGAAGTGATTTTTTTGTTGATATTCATAAGTTAGATTAGAATTTTGTTTTTTCAAAGGTAATTACAAATCTAAGATGGTTAAGATATAGCCCAATATGATCTTGAAATATATATATCATATGGAGAAAGACAGTACCACAAAAAAAAAAACAAGAAAACTATCTATAGGATGAATACTCATATATGAGTCTAAAGAATTCTCTTTTATTATTAAAATTATTACCACCCATTCTTTGATCTTTGTCTCATATACTCTATATTGAAATTACTTCCACCTATCAATTACAAATTGGCATCTTTGAGATAAAGCCAACTTATTTTTGTCTTCAAGGAGAAATGGGCAGCATTGAGTTCTGCTTTATTCTTCCCTCTTTACTATACCTGACATAATTCTTTGACTTTAAAGATTCCCATTTCTATTAATGAACCATTCAAAAGGATCTAACTTGCAGCTAGTTTAGGCACTGGGAGAATTTTATTCATAATTAATATTGTCAGACACAGCAGCTCATTTTCTGGCTCACTAGTTTGAAGGATATGTTCTTAGGAGAGTCCTAATTAATAAAATGAGGGATATGGAGTCACATGCCCTTTGGCAAGAAGTGACAGTCTTTATTTAGAAGCCACAGTTTTTATTCACATGCATTACTTTTGCTTATTTTTTTTCACTTGAAATGATGGCTCTTAAGTACTAACTGAACTTTGCCGCAGCCATAAAGTATTCAGTAATAACGAACTATCAATATCTTGTTATTGCTTCTTACCATAAAAAAAAACCCACATTTTTCAGTCCATAAGCAGAAAAAGCATCTAAGTATGTCCACTATTAAATATTATAGAATACAGTAAGTGATCATCATAGAAGTCCGTGATAATAGTGACAAAATGAAACTCTAAGAAATGAATTCCCCAACTAGGTGTTAAATAACAAGGATGATTTTTTCTTCTGTTGCCTTTGTTTCAAAAAAATGGACACTTTGTAAAATTTTTTCTATAAAATCCAGTATTTTTCGCAGAAAATCAGAAAATTTGGTCTACACTTCCCTCGCACATACTTTAACCTAGAACATTCCAACTTCTATTTTTGGAAAACAGTAAAAGTGTGGAAGAAAGGAAAGAAAAGAAAAAAGAAAGAAAGAAGGAAAGAAAGAAAGAAAGAAAGAAAAAGAAAAGAAAGAAAATAAAAGGTTCTAGTAGCTTTTAGATTTATAGGAATGCATATGAAAAATACACAATGATATTCCAAAGCCATAACTACATTTGTATCTATCTATCTATGTAAAATTTAGCAAACCTAACCAGGTCTTTTTTAAGTTTATGAACTCTGGTTGAACTGTAAAAGTACTTTTGTATTAAAAACTACAGAAATAAGTACATATTGAATTGAGACTGTTAAAATTTTTTGTGGCATATATTCTTATATAACAACTCTCATTTAGTTCATCTGAAACCTTTATTTTTCTGAGAATAGAAGTCTCCTAGAAACTACCCGTAAAAGAAGATACTAGTTTATCAACTATTTCAACATTATTCTCAAAGTTTTCAAAGTATTTTTCCACACTACTTAATATTGTTAGCTATCCAGGCAAAAATTCTACCTTTCAAAGTTTGGATGTGTAGATAGTACACTCATGAAGTCTGAAAGAAAGTAAACTCACAATACATAAAAAAAGTGTGAGATAATGTAACTGTGGACTTAATGAGGTTCTCACTTAAAGAAATGGTAAAGCAATTCCTACCACTGTACTGCTAAAATATTAGACCTTAGTCGATTGACAATAGTGGCCCAGAAATCAACAACAGACACTGTGAACTAAAATAGAATTTTAAGGCTAACAGCCCCCCCCCGACCAGCTGACTGGATGGACTCCCTTGTGGCCAAAGGGATATCCCAAAACTAAATTGCCTGCCAGGAGGAGGGAAGTCAGACATGCCTCATCATGCCCCACCCCCCTTCTTGGGGACATCCTTTGTAAGCCATTAGCAGGCATAAGGGTATGCAAGACAAAACTGCAGGTCCTCAATTTGCACAACAAATCTATGTCAGGTAGCTTATCTCCGATAAACAGCTCCTTCCTTTAAAACATTTCAAGCCTTTAGACAAAGCTTCATGTCTTTTACCAATTACAAGTCAAAGAATCTTTAAAACCCACCTATAACCTGTAAGACCCCCCCTCCCCCGGCTTCAAGAGCTTCGAGATGGCCCACTTTTTTGGGCCAAACCAATGTATGCCTCCCACGTATTGATTTGTGACTTTACCTGTAACCCCTGTCTCCCTGAAATGTATAAAACCAAACAGTAACCCAGCCACAGCAAGTCCTCTTGCTCAAGGCTTCTTGGGAGTGACTCCGGGTCATGGTCCTCAAATTTGGCTCAGAATAACTCTCTTTAAAATTATTTTACGGAGTTTGGTCTTTTTTTTCCATCGACAATGCTCAAATACATCTGACAGTTATGAGTAAAGTAAATTAAGAATGTAGGACCCACAAAGTATGGAATAAAAACAGGTAAACCAGTTACTGGACATCCCTGGTGTTCGGTTTCTCTAGGAATGATCAAAGAATATTCTAAGGTTGGAGTGGGAGTTTATTAATCTAAGGCAGGTTATAGGATTTTAAGTCTAGAAAGAAGGCATGAAATTGGGTGCCTAAAACATAAAAGGAAGAAAAAAGCAAACATGCATTAGCCACGTCCCTGGAGTCTAGGTATTTTGCTGGAGAAGCACCAGGAGTTGCTTAGCAGTGATCTAAATGGTCAGCAGTCTGTACTAGAACTGTGAGAGACACACTGCCAGGTATCTTACTGTTGCTGCTTAATTGGTAAAGAGAAAATGGTCTTTAATTTTAGAACAAGAGAGGTCAGGAGTAAGACTTTGTGAAATCAAACTTTCATCCACAGGTGGACCAGAGCCCAGTAATCTGAAAACCTATAGGCTGGCCAAAGCTACTTACAGACAAGTGAGATAAAGTACAAGAAATACAGCATTAGAAACTGAAGACAGGAGAAATGAAAATGGGAGGCTGTGCTATAAAGCAAGGTTAAACACCAGTCACTCTTAAGACATAGAAAGTGTGTAGGAACTCACTTACTGGAGACACAATAGCACGAGATAAGAACTCAGTAGTTTGGAAATTGGAATAACGCAAAAAATTAGGACATAGAATTTCAATAGAAATTAGGGTAACAAAGCCAGAGCAGGAAGCAGGAAGCAGTATCAATGAACTGATATAAAAAAGGGAAACTACTGTCATCAGGCCTCTTTCATTGCCCACATGTAAAAGCCATCTTCCTTTCAGAGTCAGAGCGGGGCCCAATCTTAAGGCTTAGATAAGCTTCAATGCCAAGCTTAGAGGGATGCAGAAACAAGAAGTCAATCACATTTGGACCCTGTTTTACTCTAGTATTATCCACCTTTTAAAATATCTTTCTTTACATTGCAAGAATTTTGATTATGTCTTGAGATCTTTACTTCCTTATTTTATCTGCCCTGTGATTGGGGTCATTTCAGAAATTCTAGAAGCCATACATTTTCTTCACAACTATACTTCACACAGTCCTCAATGTTTGAAGCTCATCACTTCTACTTCCATTGTCATGACCTCAGCAAATATTTTTACCTCCTCTTTGTACACAGTTTTCTTTGTGCATCTGTATGTTTACAGGGCTTTCTTCTCAGTCCAATCAATTTAAGAATTCAGATTTCTGTGGGCTCAGCTGATGTCCAATCAATCTCTGATTCCCCACCCAACTGAGCAAAGGCAAGATAAGAAGGTAAAATGTTTGCAATTACATTCATTATTGTGAATTGTATTTATCTGATAATGTTCAAGTGTTATTTTTCATGGATATTACTGTTTTATAAAAAAAGTAGTTGCCTATTTATAATTAATACATATATAATTATTATTTATTTTTAAGATTTCATTTCAAAAAGATGTTTTCAAGATCTGTAGTTTCACAGGCTGTACGCCAGCATATCTTCAAAGCACTTCAGGTATTTGTCAACATGTCAACTCAGCAAAATTACCTATCTTTTTATTGTATAACTTCATATTTCAATATTCATGTTTCATTCATTCAGCAAAATCTTCTAAGGACCTAGAACTAAAGCCAGCCAAAAGCTGTACAGATATGATAATTGGGAATTAAAAACTGCTAATATCAATGATGTCATCACAATTCCATTTCTACTCTTGAGTTTTTTTTTAGATAAAAAAGTTAACCAAACACATAATTCCCCAAATGTCTTTTGACCATTACTGAAAACCAAACAGGAATGTTTAATTATGTGAGAAAAAAAATGAAAATATACTAACATATACGAATACCACATATAAAGAATAATGGAGGCAATTTGGCTCAAGATATCAAGTATAAACTTGCTAAATTATGCTCTTAGAATCTGCTAAATAGCTATCAATGACAGAGTGAAATTAACTTACATCGATTACATCACTGCATAGGAATGTTCATAATCTTTATACAACAAATTTACACAAAACTAATAAATATAAAGAAGAGATATTAGGAAAAATATTTTTATGTGTGAATATTAAATCTAATAAAATTGCCATTCACCCCCCTCAAACCCCCTCCCTCCAAAAAAAAAACTACTGTGGATCTTATTGCTACAATAAGATCACTTTTCTTTCAATGACACAATAATTACAATTTTCTATTCAGGGTAAATGTGAATTTGAATACTACACAGAAAAGGATACCATAGATAAATATTTGTTTGAGCTTTTAATAATACTTGGTATTAAATTTAAACATGTCTGCCAGTTTTCTCTCCCTGAGTAAAACATCTTTGAAGAAATCACAATCTCTAGGAACAGAATAAAGCTCACCTTATTACAAAATTGTGACTGTCAATCTCTTTTCCACATTCACTATCTAGAAGAATGCCAGAATTTCCAACAACTGCACAGGTCTTAAACCTGCGATTTTTCATTGGTGAAACTTCAGGTAGGAGGCTGTGTAGATCATGAGAAATATTTAGTGTCCGGCGCCTGTCGAGCACATAGTGTATGACATCACCAGGCTTAAAACTGCTCTTGACCACCGAGACATCTCTTTCTGCATCTAAGAAACGAAGTATGTTCTTCCTATATTTGAAATACAAGCAGAGTTTTACGTTAATGACAGCATATCCGAGAACTGGTGATATTATTTACAAAGTAACATATTATGAAATATAAATTAGGAACCTACTAAACTTAAATTGTCAGGTGGTAATTAAACCACCAAATTAAGCAGATCCTGAAGAAAACAGAATGTCTTAAAAATAATTTGCAGTTTCTTGATGATTTTGTAAACAGATATATACACCTATTAGTGGAATGAAAAAAGCACTTCATTTACCAAAGTATTTAGAAAAATTAGTTTAGTAAATAAAATACAATTGCTGTGACTTGACTTTGCATAACTAGTTATTTTGATAGCTTCAGTAAATTTTCTATAGTCATGTATTTTAATGTTGTCTGGTTAAGGTGAATTGCAGTTTCTTGAAATTGTTTTAAATTGTACCAAAGTTAGCACTATTAAAAGGATCAAACTTCCCTATAAACATATGCATGTTTACCCAAATAATTTGTATATTATAATTATTTGAAGAATAATTAACACTATAGCACTAAATGTATTATGAAAGTTCTCTTCCAAGCTCAAGAGTCCAGGAGGTAAGACGGCTACATCAGAGGAAACAAATGAATAGATAGAACATTGGGCTATGTGTGGTAGAATTAGCAAATTCCTCTTTGGTTTCATTTCTTTCCTTCTTCCTTCTATTATTTGAACCTTCTAAGTTTTATTGGACACATGGATGCTCAGCTAGAATATTTGCAAGCTTCCAAACCCAAGTACAGCTGGGTTTGGTCATACCAGTTAATTTCTTTAAATGGGATGTTAGTGGATCATGTGATTTTATATGGGAGAAAAATAAACTTCCAACTTGCATGGCCACTGTATTTAAGGTTTCTTTTTTCATGGAAACTTAGCCTATCTCATACCTAATAGATAAATTGATAACAGATGTGAGATGCTACATAAACCTAAAATATATGCGTATGTTAAGTAGTTAGATGATGGAAAATGAGAATATAAACATAGCTGGCTGCAAAGCTGGTGACCCTTGGTATGATATAGAAAAGCTCTTGCTGGGCGTGATGGCTCACACCTGTACTCCTAGCACTTTGGGAGGCCTAGGCAAGAGGATCACTTGAGGCCAGGAGTCTGAGACAAGTCAGAGCAACATAGAGAGACCCTGTCTCTACAAAACAATAGAAAAATCAGTTGGGCATGGTGGTGTGCACCTGCAGTCCCAGCTACTCAGGAGGCTGAGGTGGGAGGATCCCTTAAGCCCAGGAGTTTGAGATTCCAGTGAGCTATGATGTCACCACCACACTCTACCCTAGGTAGCAGAGTGAGACCCAATCTCAAAAAAAAAAAAAAAAAAAAATTAAACCAAATTAAAAAAGAAAAGCACCTGATAAAACTATTGTCTGCAATAATTTGGAAGTTGTGCCTTATATCTAATAAATGTGTTGCTTTTGGTGGAATGGTTAAAAAGTGTATGTTGGTTTAGGTTGGCCCCTCCTTTTATCAAGGCACTAAAAGAGGTGAACTCAGGCATGAAATAGCCAACACACAAGCCAAGATGGAAAAGAATACATCTCTAGCAATGACCTAAAATCTAAACCGAGATTTTAGTGATTGGGACTTCTTGAATATTTCTGTACCTCAACTAACAAAATATAGGGCTAAACATTGGAGCCACACCAGCAGCAAGAGGAATATTGCCTTTCCACATAAGTCTATAGATTCAAAGGACTTCACAGTGGCTGGCACTAAATTGAGCAAAGGGAGGGGTAGGTCAGAATAATTAGAGGAGAGTCAGAACTCTTAAGAACTGTGTTCAGGAGAAATCTTTGGATGTGGTTATTTATGCCTGGCACTAACTACAGGGAAATAGCCCAGGAGTCTAGTTAGTTTTTGAGGGAATTATATTGACAAAGAAATTATGAACCCAGCCTACAAAAGTCTGAAATTGTTTTAATCCTCAGGCTACCAAACATATACAAGCAAAAGGCAATCTGAAAAAGCTCTACAACTAGGCTAGAAATTGGATATTATTTACTGATGTGCTCTTACTTCAAGTTTCCATTTTCAAAGCCATAAAAACAATGTCATTATTTCATTATTATAACATTTAATATATGACAGACTTATTTTTCCTTTTATTGTTTAAGCTCCATCATAATTGGTAAAATTTATTACTGAGCACAAAATATGACCTCATCCCTTGACTCCATCAAAAGAGTAATTCTCCAACCCAGAATTAAAAGCAGAAACATGATTAGCAAGGAGGGATGGAAAGTAACTCACTATTATCTTTCCTTTTTTTTTTCTTTTTCTTAATTTTGGTTTGCTCTAAATAGTTTCCAGTTTATTGTCTTGTCTAATGAGAAAATCAAGTGATTGAAAACTTTGTTTTATCAGATTTCATACACAACAGATATATCCATTGGACCTCTGAAAAATAATATTTTCTGAATTTTTTCTCAAATATTCTAAATATCAAGGTTCATATAGGGTGGAATTTGTTCAGGAAACTCTAAAAATACCTTACAAATGAAATAAAAAAAATGGATAGAAATACTATTAGACACCATAGCAATTTATCTTAACAAATTACAGGTTATATAAGAAGAGAATTATAGTTGAAATCATCAACTGTAGGGCTTATGAATTACAGAAAATGGAAAAGCATTTAATTATGTCAAGCACATAGTGATTCTTCACAAACGTTAACAACTAGCACTAAAAGTGGCAATACACAGAAACTTTTGGACATACTTATTAACTACCACTTATTTGTCTAGGAAAATTTAAGTAATATGTGACACCTGCATTTCAACAAAAATTTCTCACTTCCTGTGAGGATGACAAGACTGGCTTTAACATAGAGACTGCACGGATGTGGTTAAACCATCAAACTAGATGGTGTATTATTTTCCTTTGAATATGATTTAAACGGGTTGCAATAAATGTATTTGAAGATATGTACTCAGAAGTAGTGGTGTGCTTGCATGCTTGAAGTGAGTAGATTACAGGTCCAGATTTTGAAGAAGGTTCTGTGGCTTGACAGTCTAAAAGGGAAAATCCCTTTTACTTGGTCCAAAAGGATAACACTTGCATGCTTGTCAACTAATAGCAAGAGGGACTTTCCAATGACAGCACCTTTTCTGTGTTATAGAAAGTCAGCAGCAAAAATATTTTAAAACATGTTTTTTAAATTCCTGAGTATAATTAGACATCTTTATTTTATTCACTCTTAGGGAAAAATGATATAAAAAGGAGGACTATAATAGTTCAGCAAAGTTTTTAAAAGACATCATATTATTTAACTCTTGGAAGAAAATAGTGCTTAATGAGATAAGTAATTATTAGGTGCAGACAAAAATTGTTATGATTTCTTCCAATGTTAGGTTATAGGTTCAGCAGTAGTTTATTTTATTAAATGAAAACAGTAAAAATAGTAAATAGTATTTTCAAAAATAGTATTTTCAAAACAATAAAAAGTACCAACTCACATAAACTAATTGATATATAAAAACATAAAAAGTTTCTTAGGCAAAATTCAGAATAATGAGTTAGTGTAGAATCTGCTCTTTTAAACTGAAAAAGGAAAAAGAGGAATCCTTGTATGACTCCAGTATGTTTTCTTTTCTTATATTTAAGCAAATTTTTAGTTTCTATTTTATAGGAACTCAAAACATAGGAAATTCTCTGAGATAAGATTCCTGGTGTAGGATGCAAAAAAGACTAAAAATAATTAGTGTAAGTGAATAACATTGTGATTTAAATGCTTAATACTTTTTGAAACAATATGAAAATGTTATATTTTTTACCCCTTCCTCCAGCAGGCTGAAAACATTTTTTAGATTATACATTCAATGAACTACAAATAACTGTGGAACTGCTAAGTCCAGTTGTTGTTCAGACTATAAACATGTAAAAAGTTAAAGCTAGTTCTCAAATATAATTATCTAAATGTCATGGGAAGCATAAAAATTCATATATGCATTGAACTGAAACAATACTTTATCAACAAGGAGAATATATATGCTTTTGCTCAGAGCTCAGAAGATAACTGATATGATTTTAATTTTGTTTAACCTGTTACTTTCCTTCATAAATGAGAGAGACAGAAAGAAAACTCAGTCTAACATCTAGGCTCTAAAGAAACATGAATCAACAAAAGCTAATATTTAATATGCAGGCTCTACCAGCACAAGTTTTCCTTATATGTGGTCAAGTTATCAACAGATATTCAGAGAAGATGGTTGTGTTTTCTGTACGTGACTTAAAAGAACAAATAAAGGATCCTTCATAGGTCTTTTTGTGATCATAATGCAACTTTTGAAACCTCATCAGATAAGCAAGCACCTAAATTCAGCAACTGTTTTAATGTTAAAGATAACTGAAAGAATCTCAAAATATGTTTCACTTTTAGTGAGACTAAAAGTCTTAGTCATAAAAACTATTTTTGTTAGGCAATATTGGCTTAAACTGAAAGGTTGGTTTAGGCAGTTAAACTGACAAAAATCGACTCAATACAGAAACTTTAAACTGAGTTTTCAACTAGAACTTCCTTTTTAACACCACCTATTACTTAAAATAGCAAGTGCAGAGTCCCAGAGAATTAACTTACTAAACATCGCTATCACTTGTGCAATGTCAACTATAGCTAACCTATCATCAGGTGCCATTCTTTTTTCTCTGTAGGTTTTTTATTTCCAACAACAAACATGCATATCACAACTAAAATTTAATGTAAATGACATTACTAACTCTATCAGAAAGTACTGTGTAACAAATCTTAGTGTTGGAATGTATCATAAATTCCGAAGCAAATTAGGTTATGATACATATATTAGGAGTCAGTTTTTGCAAACTTTAAACAATGACTCCAGACTGCTCCTCCAAAAAAAAAAAAAAAAAAATCTCTGTATCAATTCAACTGAATTCAACTGGTACTGACATAGTTCAATAAAAGGGAAAAAAAAAAGTTAAGAAGTGCTAAATGTTTCAACAAGCCTATAAAAAGCAGAGAAGGCCAGGCATGATATTTCATGCCTGTAATCCGAACACTTTGTGAGGCAGAGGCAGAAGGATCACTTGAGGCCAGGAATTGGAGACCAGCTGGGCAACATAGTGAGACTCCGCCCCCCGCACCCCATCTCTAAAAAAAGTTCTTCTTTTTTAAATTAGTGTAGTGGTCCACCAATATAGTCTTAGCTACTCATATTCCAGCCTGGGCAGCAAAGCTAGACCCTGCCTCTAACAAAAAAAAGCAGAGAGAACAAACAATTTTTGTCTGAAAAGATTATTTCTGCAAGGCAACTTGCTTCAAAGCTCTAAAAAAACAAAACCTACAGCTTGTTTAGGACTTTTGAACTTAGAGTCCTAGCTGTTATAGAAGCAATATTTTAGTACCAAAATTAAAATCCTAAACAAATACAACTAAATGAAAAGGCAAAATTTTCCCACAATACTTACAAATATTTTTTTTTTCTTTAACTGACACCTCAGATTGCCATATGATAGCTGGCTCATAATTTGATAGTATTAGATGAAAAATATCTTATATTTCATTACTTTAGAGCAAAATATAATCATGTACCCCATAGAGATGCATTTGATGGTATGCATTTCGAGTATTAAAATATACTCTTTGTAACTTGATTTCCTCTATAAAGAAAAAAAATGCTCTTCCAAGAAATTTGTTTTGTAATAAGACTCTGGTTTTATGGTCAAATAGGTGTGGATTTGAATCTTGACTTTGCCACTAATAAGCTTTGTGACCCAAGATTAGCTCTACTGGACACTTATTGATCAAAGTAAGTAGAAAATGGTGTATGAATTGTATATGGACATTTTCCTAAAATAGATCTATGAATGAAATAGCAAATTCTTTTTGAAAGGTAAGCATATATAAATTTGAAATTGTGTTTAGTTAACCCACAGGTCTTATCTGTTTAAAAACTTTGATATGTAATACAATGATACTAAAAGTTGAAAATATTTTTTCTAAGCTTAATGTGATTAAGCTGTTCCAGTGAGTAACTGAGTCTGTACATTTCTATACATCTATACTTAGTATTTGTAGTTCTCTGGGTTTCTAGTCCACATAAAAAAAAAATAGAAAAAAAGAAAGAAAGAAACAACTGAAGTATGGGAAAAATGTCAAGTTATAAGTGTCGGACATGACCAAATAATCTCTCAGCACAATGTTCACAGATTTATTCAAAACATCTAATGCACCTTAAGTGTGTCATTTCTTAGCTTACAATAATAGAACACAAACTATTTCCAATAAAAGCAATGCTTTAAACTAAGCTAATTATTTTAATTGCAAAGTTAGCTGGAGAATGCCCAACTTCCTAAATCTTGACTAATCTTCAAAGTATAATGAAATAATATAATATATGGAACCATTTCTCTAGATAACTCCACAGAGGTACAATTGTTTGTAGACTATATATGAACCAATTCTTTGTGTGCTTATGAAAGTAACAGAAGGTATATGGGGCTGAAGGAATTAGTAATAAGAAAGAAAATCATGACTACAAATTTGAAAAAATTGTATCTTCAGTAACTATTTCACATTTTAATGTAAATAGATAATTTATTAGGAATATCATAAGAGCATTTTAAATCTAATGATACTTTAATATAAGAAAGATTTGTAAGTGTAGTTCAATAATTTAAGAAAAAAATGATGAGTTGTAATATCTTAATCAAAACTTCGAAGTAGAATTTTGAAAATGCTTTTAAAATAAACCCACACCCACTCACAGACACAAAGTGATATGATACTTCTTAAATGTTAGAGAGGTGCGGAAGTAACAAAGAAAAATAATAATCCAAAATATTGCGTGATTAGTTTTCAGTATGACTTTTAAAAATCATATTTTCAAAAGCTAAGCCAACAATTAGACATTTTCATATTCTAAATTTTTTGTTGCAGGTGTCAAACTGATTAAAACTAATCATTTCTGCTATTAGGCAATTATAATTTTTATAAACTGCACATTGTACAATAATGGTTTTACAAATTATTCTTTCCTTGCAAGAAAGCAACAACTTTGTATGTATTATTCAATATTTGTTCACTGTTTTATTGTTATCTCTTAAGGAGAACTATATAAAAATAGTATTAACATTTCATTCGTATTATCAGCTCTTACAATTAAAAATAGACTGCACTCAAAGATACGAATGCAACCTTTACTAATTTGCAAAGTCGCAATAATGAAATTTTTGGATCAATTCAGATGTTTATTAACCTTAGTTTTAAGATCTTAAAGCCAAAATGTTTATCGGTAGCCTCATGCACACCTGCAGTATTCAATTTTGTACAAATATTAGGAAAGCATATCCAGATATATTAATTAAACTAGTGTCAATTACTTATTTAATTTGCTTATTAGATTTTTTTCCTGACATATTACTTAGCATAGTTACATATATTAATGAAACTACTAACATATCTTATCTTACTTTCTTTCATCGCTTTACCTGATCTGTATAGTCTTACCTAGCTGTCTCCCTTCTTGCTAAACCATACAATTTGAAAGTTCTCTTTTTGCTTATAGATCAATCCTTGCTTTTTCATCACCTATATTTCTCTCTTTCCAACGTAACGCCAAGAAATATGAACCCTTACTATACACCCTACTACCCTAAACTATATCTGTATTTATGATTCCATATCGTCGCACATCCCGTACCTTTGTCCTCATAATTATCTCATCTCTAAATTCAAATTCAGGGCTGGGGACAGAAGACAAAGGTATCATGAAGAAGGGAGCTCCAGGTGTAAAAATGTCAAACAGGAGAGATCATGGCTGTGTCTGCTTCAACCAACTTACTCTCAGGAGGAATACAGATTCGGAGTTGTCACTCTTAACAATTTCTCAAGAATTTATGAAAATCTGTACTTTATATAAAGAATCTCCTGATTTTTAATATTGGCTTTAAGGATTTTTTTTCTCTATCTAGTTGAGATACATCTTTCTTGCTGGCCATATTCTACCCAAAAGACACCCACTGATGAACTCTGTCATCAGATTCTCCTTATCTCCTCATTCTTGTACTAGGCCCACAAATACAGAGAGCCCCCCCAAAAGTAAAAGCAAACAAACATACACCACTTGACATTGCCATGATTTGATTACTGTTTATCTTTCCATTCGTTTCCAAACTTTAAAAAAAAAGTAGTCTGACCATGCCTGCATTTCCCTGACACTGTCTCTTTTAAATTTTCAGACATTCTTTCAAGTCAATTTCAACATGTAGGGAGCGCTTTTGCTGAAATACATTCTATGAATTGTCATGCACACTCTAAATATGAATGCAATAGACTCTTCCTTCACCTTGCTTATGATCTACATTATATGTAAGTAATTCAAGAAGTGAGTAGGTAGAAACCCGCACAAATTAATCGCCCCTTTATCTCTTAATCAGTAAGCTACTCTTATAAAATTTTCTTGTTAATATCCAGTCATTGACTAGTTAGCATTTTGCCAACACTAGAAAAATACAACGATTGTACTATGTAAAGGGATGTGTTCTCTCAAACTTTTTTAAAGAGTTCCGATTTACTGAAAACGATCTAATTCAAACATACCAACCAAAATAGCAATGTAAAGTAAATACTGAGGAAAATAAAAGCTATTTGTTTTCTCCATAATTAGGAAGATATTATCTTATGTTTCTTATTATTAATAGGATTATAATAGAAGAAAATGATAAAACATGTATGCATTGAGTTCCATTACAAGAGTTTGTTTCAGCAAAAATGCCTACTCTTAACAAAGAATAAGCCAGTAATCTAGAAAGTCTATTTTCTGGTTTTTACCCATTCTTTTTACATGAGTTCACGTAGACATACTAATTCACAGAATAAGACTAATTTATTTATAGTTGTCAGCAAAATAGGAGTTGAACAGGCTCTATTTTCATCTAATTGAGGAAATACAAGATCAGAATGAAGACTCAATAGGGAAAAAGTTAAAAGATAATTCTCAAAATATATGTCCATCTTGAGTAATTGAGTAAAGTATGTTAAATATTGGTACTCTGTTGAATATTTTATTCCATTAATATAAAGACACTATATTCAAAACTCACATATTCATCCTTAAATTTCTGACTGTAAAATGATTTGAGTTTTATGGTTTCACATTCTTCATTGAGGAACATTAAATAGAGCTGGTTCACTCTTTTATTAAAGCATTCATACTTATAAATCAAGTGTTCAATGTAAGTTTGCCAAGCCCAACACATTTAAGAACATGATGTGAAATTTATTGTGCCATATTAAAGAAACTCACCTTATCTCCAGGACCAAAGAGGAATTAATTTTCCAACCTTCTACATTATGCTGGAAGATTGAAGAGCCAGCCTTTCGAACGATTTTATCAGAACTATTGACAAGTGATCGACTCAAACACAATTCGCCGTCTCTGAAACAAAACAAAAATGCCAAGTTTGTGAAAGTAAGAAGCATTTGTCTAGCACAATACATAATTTGATTTACATCACTGGCAAAAAAATTATCGATACAGTTTTATTCTACAAGTTAGAGGGAGATGTATAATCATTATGAAAGGTGCTATAAGGATTAAATGAATATAACTTTATCAGGACAAGGATCTACACTGACTCTTTTTGAAATGAAACTATTTCCATAGTAAGAAAAGACTTCACTAGTACGTAAAAAATTCTCATCAAATCTAAAAATAAAAAATAGAATTACCATGCAATTCAGCAATCTCACTTCTGGGTATATACCCAAAGGAATTGAAATCTGTATGTCTGAGAGATGTCTGCACATCCATGTACATTGCAGTATTATTCACAGTAATCAAAATATTGAAACAACCTAAGTGCCCATCAACAGATAAATGAATTAAAAATGTGGGAGATATACACCACGGAATACTATTCATTCTAAAAACACACTAAATGGATAAACCTAGAGGACATTATTTTAAGGGAAATAAGACAGGCACAGAGAGACAAATACCACATGTTCTTACTTATACGTGGATTCTGAAACAAAGTCGTAGAAATAGAGAGTAGAATGGTGGTTACCAGAGGCTGGGTAGGGAAAGGGGAGAAGTTGGTCAACAGGCACAAAGTTTCAGTTAAGAGGAAGTACTGGTGTTCTCTTGCATAGTGGCTATAGTTAATAATAATGGATTTCTAGTTCAGAATAGCTGAAAGAAAAGATTTTAAATGTTCTCACCACAAAGAAATGATAAATATTTGAGGTAATGGATGTATTATCTAGCCTAATTTGACCTTTGAACAATGTATACATGTACGAAAACTTTACATTGTACCCCATAACTATATACAATTATTATTTGTCAGTTAAAGATAAAATAAAGCTTAAAGCTCTGTTCCCCACTAGCCTCTCACTGACTGTTTAAACAACAGAGACAAATATCTGGTCAATTCTCTTCATCTATAGAATTGTGATTGCTAAGATTGTAATTTCATTTTTACAGAAGGCATATACTTGTAATAGAAGGAGCTTTTGATTTGAAGAAAGAAGAGTTTGGGCTATCAGGTGATCTGGGCATGTTTGTGATTCTGTGGCTTGCCAGCCTTGTGTTCTTAAACAATATTCTCTTTCTAGGCCACAGTGGCCTTATCTTATCATGAAAACTACAATAACATCTCATATGCAATGACTTTGGTAGGTTTAATTGGTGCTCTGTGTGTGAAAGTAGTTTATAAAGCATTATCAAGTGCTAATTTTAAAAATTGCATTGCTCTTAAAATGTGTCAACATGAGGTACTACCCTAACAGTTGTTGTGGATAGACAGAGATTGTAGTAGGGAGAAAACTAATTTCAGTAGCCATTATTACTACTATTTTCTATTACATAAAAAAAAAAAAAAATCAACTACCCCTCTCTAACAAATAATGTTAAGCTAGTATATCATGTGGCATAGTAGTAGCAGGAGTGCTGGTGGTGGTGATGATGGTGACACATATCTATAATAGCATTTATGCCATTAGGACATTTCTAGCTGAACCAATTCTTTATTTAATAGAATATTTTCTTCATACTTCACCTATGTAAACTCAGACTCAGAGAATCAAAAAGCCACTTCTTATAGCATACCAACGAAAATCGTATCCCTCTCAATATGTACATTTATTTCTTTACATGTCATCTTTTAATTTTTAGAATCTCAGAAACATAGTTAAGAAACAACATGACTATTTGCTCAATAACAAAGTCTAAATCTGTGTTTATTATGTAGGCAACCCTCTCCTACTATCAATGGAAACACTGCCTGTGTAACAGCTGTTGGATGAATTCTGTAATTGAAGGCTTATAGTTTGGTATTTTGGTTTGCATTCTTTTTTAAACATGTAGTTTAAATTTGAAGCAGCTCAAAGCATCATGTGCCACTATGCTCTGTGAAATTTAGAACTGTAATATTTTAAACCATCCTACTGATGACAATGATACATTTGCATACTGATTGCATGGCTAATAATATTTTACAGAGGTCATTTAGGATGCAAGAAAACATGGGATTCACTTTACTACTCAGCAACCCAGAAGTCAATTATCATATTATATGTCTAATGATAATAACTACATGTGAAGGAAAATGCGGATATATAAGAAGTTAACCTTCACGCTTTTGGAGATATGACTTCATGAGTACAGGCACAAACTATCACTATTTTGGGGGTGAGGGAGGATCTTTCCAATCTTCATCCTGTTAATAACTAGACTATTAATATCTTTTTCTAATCACAGATTGTTATGATAATAATAGTTATTTTCACCACCAAAAAACTTTCATAGGGGAAGTGAAAATATGCATGAGCTTGCATTTTTAAAAATCTATGAAGGTTGCTTCATTGAAAAGTGGATACAGATATATTTTTATATAGCAGAATGATTGCTATGGTATACTTAATTGTATGGATCCTTTTCAAAATCTCCAAGATATTTTGAAAAAATAATTTAAAAGTTTAAATCAGTTTCATGTGAATAACATGCTAGCATGTTACCTTCCTGCTTGACGTGTTTTATTGAACTAGTGATAGGCCAAATTTAAGACTGTTATCACTGGAAAGAGCTTTGAATGGAAGCTGCTACAACTAGTCACACTTCTTATAGTTCATAGAATTCACGTGAGAAGGCCAGGCTTAGTGAAATAAAGCTCTAGAGTAAATTTCTTTGTATAAAGGTAAGTGGGTCCCAAGGGATTTTTCACTTGTGACATTGGTAGCATTCTGTCTTGGAAAAGGCTTTTCCTTCCCATGAATGCAAGACATGAAGGATGTTGCCACCCCCTACTTGTTTCTCATTCCAGATCAGACATGACTTTTGAACAGCTTCACTGAAAGTATTTCTTGCATAGGATTATCGTTAAGAAAAGTCAATATGCACTTTTATAGGGAAAATAACAGAGCATATCAAAAAATCACTCAGCATGAAGCAATATATTACAAAGTATTCCTGCTTATATGGAGCTAAAAATACCCACAAAAAGTGGTCATCTATGGAATATCAGTAGCAAGAATTAATCATTTGCTGTGTTACTCAGTATCTGCAATATTTTTCTCTTTGAAATTTGAGTTTCCAGGCTTCATCACAATTTATTCTATTAGTTCTGCAGTACACAAGAAATATGATTAACTTCAGTTTATGAAATTGGGTCCCAAAAGCCCTTCATTTAACCCCACTGAAATTCTTCATGACTTGCTTTGGAATGAATTTGATCCCTTTGGACTAGGTTAAACTTCCTCCTTAATATAAAATTTTAAAAGTAATTTAAAAGAGAAGACTTTCATCAAACTAAACCTGAACACAAAGGGAGAAGACAATTTTGTGTTTTCATTACCTGAGCACCAAACAACTACAAATAAAGATGAGCTGTTCTAATTTACTGCTTATGGGTTTTGGTAGAATTGCAAATGTATCATGTGAAGTAAAACGCAAATTCTGGATTTTTCATTTATAGGGTGTGTTCTAGCCTAGAACAAACTGGAACTAACTTTGCTGACTATGGTACTAATCTAAGTAGGAATGCTTGTCTCCACTATCAATCTTATCACAGATTTCAGAACTAATATTGTTGATCATTTAGCAAAACAACCTGAAATACATAGTCAAATTGTAAGGGAGATCTTTGGATGATAATAAAAGTAAGTTAGTCTCACTTGTGGTAAACCAGAAAAATAGTGTGTACCAAGTTTTAAGGAATACTATTTAAAACAAATATCTGTATGATGTTAAAGTTTGTTACACTTTTAAACATAATAAATACTTCATTAAATGAGCATACCCACATATTTTATCTGTGGGAATCTTAAATTAATGCATTTCCAATTATACCCAAAAGAGCACACAGAGCCATTTAAATCATAGGCCAATCGTAAGGACCATTAAGAAAAAAAAGTCAAGAATAGATCACTTAATATCTTCAATACCCTTTGATTTAAACTTCATTAACTGTCATCATAAAAATCAATAAGTTTTTGTGGAAGGAACTATCAATTTTAGGTGTCCAATAATTATTACTTGACCTATTTTGGAATAATTTCTTATTTTAAAAATGCTGGTAGTATTCCTTTGGAAATATGATAATGCGGATGGTTGGTGGGAAAGTCGTGGTCATTCTCTTTCTGTCTGCGTAGATTGACTGCTCAATATAATTATACAAGAAGAGCAATGCTGAACTAACTCTAGATGGGACATCCAGTCGGCGTAACGGGTAGAAAAGATAAAGAAACTGCCTGCCTATTGAAAAAACCAAAACAAAACAAAACAGAACAAAAAAAGGTAGCAGGAATGCTAAATAGGAATCTAGGTGGATGTTACAAGATTCGAGGACGATGTAAGGTCCTTCGTTGAACCTGCTGCCCACCCACAAGGCACGCAGTGCCCCCCAAAGGCCAGAGCCTACTTCTGTTGCCGCACTTTTGAATACTGGCCTCCCTTCTGAGGCCAACCCTCCACTTTAGTTTACTCCTCTCAAAACCGGCCTCTCCACATAGCTTGAGTGTTCAAGAGTCAATGAGATGATTAGATAGTTTGATGAGTCAACTCCTCCACCAGAAACGCTGTTTTGGAGTTGAAACAAAACCACGAGCTGGGATCACAAGCTTTTCCACTAAACGTGTCATCCTGGGGGAAAAGAAAAGAGCGCTAGGGGGACTGGCTAAGCATTGCTCCCGGCAGTGCCAACTCCAGAGTCTTGGTCTCCAGCAGAGCGGGTGGCGTCGCGGCAGCCAGGACTCGGTGGGGAACCCGGTGTGAGCTCAGAGTCGGCTCTGTCTCACCCCACGGGGCCATAATCGAGGGTTTTAGTTAAGGAGGAGGAGCCAGTTGCCTGCCACACAGTGGGAATGGTCGGGGGCGGGCAGGGGGGCGCGGCACGAAGGGGGCCTAATTCCTGCGGCGCAGGCTCCCCGTCTTCTTACTCATTCTTCCACCCTCGCCGCCAGCTCTCCGGGCGGGGCGCACAGACCGGTGCGCACCTCTCTTCCCGTTTGGTTAACGCAAGCGCCCGCCCCACGCCTCCTCTGATGAACTGGGAAGAAACCGTCTCTCAGCTTGAAAAGGGTGCGGGCGACAGCCTAGCCGGCTAGTCCTGCCGCCGCGCCGCTGCCTGCCTCCTCTTCCCCCGCGCCCAGGCTGCTCCCGCCCGCCGGCGACGTCCAGAAAGGGCCACAGCAGAAATCCTGCCCGTGAAACGCAGAGTGTCCCGGGTCTGTTACTCCCACAGGGACTCGGGGTGCACTCCCCCTTCCCGCTTACGGTTCAGGGAGGCTCGGGGAGGACGGCTCGGCAGCATCGGGCGCCCCCTTCGCCTCACTCGCCGCCCACTCCAGTCTCCGGGGTCCCGAGCCGAGGGCCCGCACCCTCGGAGTCCTGGAGAGGCTTAACCGCTTTGTCTTGGCTCAGGCTCATCCTCGTCGCCCACCGCTCCGGAGGGAACAAAGACCCTCGACCCTCACGCCCCAGCCTCCGCCTCTCACCGGAGCCGCACGCGCCCGTTCGTCACCTTCCTAGAGACCCCTTTGTCTGCCAGGCAAGCACAGGTCTGCCAGGGATGCCGCCGCCCCCGCCTAAGTCCTTCTTTTCTGACAATTAAGCTAGACTGGATTTTGGAAGCACACATTCTGTGTAAAGGACCTCGTACAGTTCTTTCTGTCGTTTTCAGAATACACCATGTATAGATTTGTTGGTGCATAACGACCACCCAGCCCATTCCTTATTAGCTTTTTCATTCTCTTCCACTCCCTTTTCACTGTACTGTTATCTTGGTTTTCTACAGAATAGCGAATCCTTCTTTAAGGGTAAACCCACATCATGTTCACTTAAATAAATGCTCATTACTTAGGAAGGAGCAAAAATATTAAGAAACAGAGTGTATGAAGTTCAAGAGCGCGCGTGCGTTTTAGCAGTCCTATGCCCCCTCCCACACACACATACACACACACAAAATGGCAAGGACTCTCTCTTCGCTTTCATAAATGTCAGAGAAAAAAGAAAAAAAAAAAAAGCAAAACAGCCGAGCATCTCTGCCAATGTGCAGTTTCCGATAGCGGACGCCTCCGGACGAAGGAGGATTTCGGAAACAGGACTTTGAACAGAGTTGCCAACCAGGTTCACATCCTCAGAAAAAGCTTCCAAGCTATATCCGCAACACAAAGTTGCACCACCTCCTGGGCAAACTTCAAAGGCGTAGAGGCCAGGGGGAGGGTGGAAGGAAGTGTGATATTTAGAGAACTTAATGGGGCGGGAGAGAATCTGAACTCATCTAGACAAACTAAAGAACTAGAAATATAGTCTGTTTAAAGCTACAGTACCCAGTTTCTTTCTAAAACTGTAACCATGACGCCCATGCGTTTTGCCCATGGAAGAACGAATAAGGAAGTATGCTTGGTGGGGCTGGAGTTTCTAATTCAAATTATTCACATTATGATACACAGATCTACCCCAACGCCAAAAAAAAAAAAAGAAAAAAGAAAGAAAGAAAAAAAGAAAGAAAGAAAGGAAAAAAAGAAAAGTAGAGAAACAGAGACCTATTTTCTGCTTTCTGGGCTTTAACTTCAGCCTTTCAAGAAACCAGCTTTCTCTAGTACCTCTGTAGAGTGATAGAAAGAAGGAAGGGCAACCGTTTGGTGAATAAAGCCGTCTCGCTTGAGTTCTGTACACAGATTAAAAGGACAAGGGCACACATTCTTTGTTGACACTTATGCAGTGACTTCTCCTTCGGCGTTTGAGCACCCGGTGCTAGCACAACTGTCACCACCACCGCACACAGCAAGTTGAACTCGTACGGAAACAGCTCAGAGAAGCGCATACACCTCAACAACAGCCTTTGTTATTTAATTCATGACACTAACCACACGCAAGCTCTAAGGAACACACATACTACCCCAACCATCACTCTACTGTCTATATTCACATTTCATTTACGGCTTGACTTTTTGTCATATCCTGAAATAAAGCTTTGCATTTACCCGATGAGTTGCGTCTCCTGGTGCTCCTCAGTTCTTGCTATTTCTTTTGTCTTATAAAAGATCAGGAGCAGACTTATTGTGCAGATCGTCCACCTCTTCCTAATGGAGCGCATCTTGGGTGCCCGGGAAAGTCCTGGTTGCCCCAGTTCCCGCACCTTCTCTTGATGTAAAGGCTCCGTTTTGAGGCAATGGTCGTGGGGGGGAAATCTGTAAAATGCGAGAAGAGCGTAGAGCCGGGATGGCAGGATCAGGTCGCTGGGGTCCTCTCCGGCCGAGCTCCCTCTGGTCCTCGAGCCCTGCCCGGCGCCCTCCCGCTTCGTTCGCGCCAGCCCTGCCCGGGTCGCTCTGCGCCGCCTCCCTGGGGCTCAGGTTTCTTTTCAGATGAGACACCTTGTGTACTGGAGGTAGCGGCCGCTTCTGCAGCTGGGTTCGGGGGCGTCACTGGCCCTTCCCTCTTGCTAGCAGGGAAATGATGAGCAAGACTAGCCAATCATAGGGCTGAGGGGGCGGAGGCTGCTGTTGCCTCGCGTTGCTGGCGGCTGCTTGGAGAGTAACGTCCCCGTCTCTGCCTGCACGGTGCTGGGAGAGGAAGCTCACAGTGGAACGCGCCCGCGAGCTCGCGCACATGCATACACACACGCACACGCACTCATAGACACGCACACACTCTCTCTCCTGGGACACCACAGCGTCAGCTCTCTGAACGTGGGAGTGCCGAGATAGTCTTTCCGCATCAGTGGGGATGGGACACCTCAGCTGGGGACAGCTTAGACATGCGTCCCGCCCAAGGAATGCTTTGGATGGAGCTGGGGGTGGTTTGCAAGAGGGGTAGGTTCTTCCAAGCACCGTTGCTAAACATACACACTCGAGTACACAAATGCACTCTCTCCGAAGTAGAGTGAAACGGGAGAGGAAGGGGGAAAGAAGAGGACGTTTGTTATTTGGGGCACAGTTCAATCTGGAAAGTACGAAAACACACGTGAGCTGATTAGCGGATCGCGCACTCAGAATGGGTGGTGTATGACAACCCCAGCTCAGCATTCTGCAGGAAACAAGATGACATTAGGAACTTTATGGATATTTATGTTCCTCTCTTTCATTGTCATTTGGAAACTCCTTACGCAGAAGTCAAGGAAACTCCAATCCCACTTAAACTTCACTGCAGAGAAATAGGATTCTGAGAAAAAGCAGCTATCAAGGACCTCTCTTTTAAATGCAAGTACACCCCCATACACATTCACATGTCCAGGAAGGAGGGAAAGAAGGAAGGAAGACAGGAAGGAAGGAAGAAAGAAAGAAGGGAGGGAGGGAAGGATGAAAGGAAGGAAGGAAGGAAGGATGGGCAGGTAAGCTCTTCTGCAAATGTCTCAATGGTATGTATTTAGCCTCTCAACGACATTATTTCACCTTTCCTCCCCTCCTATTATTTTCCTTACTTCTATCGTATTGTGTGGCAGGGGCACTTTTGGATTTTTGTGTTCCAGCCTTCAGCCTGAATACCTCTCCACTATCCTTTGGTTCTCGTCCAGACTGGGGAGAGATGCTTGCTACTCTGATCATTCTACGCCTTGATTCTGCTCTTTGCCGTGGGCTACTGGGTCAGTAAGCATCCCTTGTGTAAGACAGTGCCTGGAATCAAAGATTTCCCCCATCTACAAGCGAGGGTCCCAAGGTCCCAGACAGCCTCAGAATTCCTCCTTCCTTCAGGATAAGCCATTGCTGGTCATCCCCACTCTGCCTCTGGGGTTTACATGTCCCCAGGCTCAGAAATCCTCCTCCACCACCAATCCTCCGCCCGCGGGAAAGAAGAAGGAAGTTATGAATTACCAGTCCCCTGATAGCTGAAAATAATGACAACAGTACCTTTGCTTGTAAACCTCAAGTTCCCACCAGTGCTCACCATTCTTCCCCTAGAGTTTAGGAAGTTAAGAACCTCTGAGATCTTGAGCTTAGTCTTCACAGAAGAGCAAATGGGGTTGGGCCTAAAATGCTCTAAGGAGCAAGTAATTGTGAGCCTTTATTGACACTACAAGTGGCCCACAGGGAGCCTTTCCAGTTTATTGACGTCTAGGCAAATCCTTCTTGCATTAATGCGTTTCTATTACACTGACTTCTCAACCAGCAGAAACTGCAAGAATAAAACAGCTTTTTATTTAAGTTAAAAGGGAGCTGAGGGGGTGGAGCATTCATGATTAGGACGCTAAATTCTCTAGATTAAATTTTTATTTTTAATCAGTAAACAAATATATGTTGTATATATCCCCTCTTTGACAGGAATGGAGTAATATGCATTACTTAATTAAATTTATTCAATATTTCTTGAGCCATTACCATAGGCCAGGCAATGTGTGAAGGCACAGGAACACAGTGATGAATAAAATATAGAAACTACTCAGACAGGAAGTTCATTCACTCAGAAGGGGACTGCTTTTAATACATTGACTGCCACGCCAGGAAAAAAAAAAAGTTTTCCTTGGGGCTATGGTGTTTTATGAAAATATAATAAAAGCTTCAAAAACAAAATGATCCTTTCTAATTTAATGAAAAAATTGTAATTTTTTACTGTTTTCTGTGCATGAGTTATAGGAGCAGGCCACTGGAGCAGGGTGACAGGAGGTGGGGGAAACATGCCAGTTGGGTGAGTTATGCTAGTGTGAGTTAAATACAACTCACATGGCAGTTAATGTGTTAAAATAATAATTTGCAGTATGGCACCATGAACCTGAAACATTATTTGAAATATATATGGTACCTGAATAAGCTCCTGGGTTGAAGCAGATGGGATGTTTAAGGAGCAGGGAAGATGAGATTCCTGGTGGAAGGGACACATAGACTAGGGTTTTAAAGATGACTAAGCAGAAAGCTTAAGGTAAGTAGAATATTGCAAGTAGAAGAAAGACAATATGCCACTTCAGAGGGGAATAAAACACTGGTGCTTTAGGGAACTTTGAAGCAGTTCAATACTGTTAGAACAGGAAGTGGGAAGGGAGAGCAGTGGGCCATAAGTTTCAGTGTGATCATATTATTCCATAGCTTCACAAGGTGAACTTCCCTCTCTAATCTCAAGTGGAAAAGCCACAAGAAATCTTCAAGAGGAAAGTGGGTTTAATTCATATGTTAAGCTTTAAATTACGTTAAGGGAAACTGTTTACCTAGCCCAAACAGAACCAAACAAGCCCAACAGCGAAACTAAAGTACACCAAGAACTGGCTATGGGAACGCATAGGACAAATTTAAAAGTCCAGAAGAGAATAAGTGAATTCTCCTAATGTATAATGCTGCTGTTTCTGAATTTGTTTATTATGGAACCGTTTACATTAAAGTGAACGATTCTGAATGACTGATAATGATTCAATGAGACTCAAGGGATTCTAACTTCTGTATTAAAATAATTTAGTGTTTGGGATGTAATTTAATGTCATTTGTTTAATATTGTTAGATTCATGAAATATAAATGCATCACAATTTGCCAATTAAAAAATAAACATATGGGCCAACACTTAGGCCAAAGTGTGGTAAGTGTGGTTCTTCTCAGTAAGTAAATAGGTACAAGAACTACAAATATTGGGTAAAAAGTCTTGTCCATGCAATGTGTCTTTTGGAATCACCTCTTTCCATTAGAATGCTCATTTTGATAATCCTGAGAAAATAAAGCTATTCATAAATTTTCATTCTATCTTTTAACTACAAGTTCTTCAATAAAGAGCATACATTTGTCTTTATTCAGCACAATTTTGCAATTACACAATACCCTATAAATAAATAATGCAAGTTATGGCAGCTGGTTTTAAATGCTACTTTATCCTTTAACTGAATTTAAATTTATGCTTTAATTGCTGGCTGTGCCTTCAAATTTAGCTGGCAAGAAATGGATAGACACTTACATTCTCATGGCAGGGTTTTTAATGGCCTATGACATTTTTAATAGACAATTTTTAGAGCAGTTTTATGTTTATAGAAAAATTGAGCAATAAATACAGAGTTACCATATACCTTTACTCATAGCTTCCCTCACTATCAACATTCCTTATTAGAGAATTACATTTTTTTTATAATCAATGTAACAACATGGACCTATCATTATCACTTATAGTCCATAGTTTACATTAGGGTTCATTCTTGTGGTGTATATTCTATGGGTTTTGGCAAATGTATAATGACATGCATTCACCGTTATAATATAATACAAAATAGTGTCATTGCCCTAAAATTCTTCTGTGCTCTGAGTTTTCGTGCCTCTTTCTCACTCCCCCTCATCCTAGTCCCTGCTGTCACTAATATTTTTGCTTTCTCCATAGTTTTGCCTTTTTCAAAGTGTCACATGGTTGGAATCATACAATATGCAGCTTTTTCACATTGCCTTCTTCAACTTAGTAATATGCTCTCTGTTTTTTTCCATGACTTGAAAACAGATTTCTGCATGTTTTTTCATTATTTGAAATCTCATTTCTTTTTAGCACCAAATAATATTCCATTGTATGGTCATACAACAGTTTATTTTTCCACTCACTAACTGAAGGACATTTTTTTGTTGCTTCCAAGTTTTGGCAATTATGAACAAACCTACCCTAAAGGAAATTATGAATAAAACTGTGTAGAGGTTGTTGTGTAGAAGTAAAGCTTTCAAGTCATTTATTTAAATTGCAAGAAAAAACATTAGTGGATTGTATGGTAAGAGTATGTTTAGTTTTGTGAGAAACTGTCAAAGTGCCTTCCAAAATGGCTGTACCATTTTGCATTCCCATTAATAGTAAGTGAGAGCTCTTGTTGCTCAATATCCTTGCCAGCATTTGGTCTTATCAGTGTTTTGGATTTTAGCCATTCTAATAGGTATGTAGTGGTATCTCAGTGCTTTAATTTGCCATTTTCTAATGCCATATGATGTCAAATATCTTTTATGTGCTTATTTTCATTGATTAGGTGTCTCTTCAGAACTTCTGCTCAGATTTTTCATTAGGCTGTTCATTTTCTTACTGTTGAGTTTTAAGTGTTCTTTGTATGCTTTGAATAACAGTCTTTTATGACATATGTCTTTGAAAAATATTTTCTCCCAGTCTGTGGCTTGTCCTCTGATTCCCTTGACAGTTTCTTTCACACAGTAAAAGTTTTTTAATTTTAATGAAGTCCAGCTTATGAATTATTTCTTTTATTGATTATACCTTTGATGCACATAAAATCTAAACCCAAGATAACCTAGTTTTTGATGTTATCTTTTAGGCATTTTATTGTTTTGTGTTTTACATTTAGTTCTGTGATACATTTTGAGTTAATTTTTGTGAAGGATGTAAAGTATGTATCTAGATTAATTTTTTTTTGCATATGGATGTCCAGTTGTTCCAGCACCATTTGTTAAAAGACTGTATTTCTTCCATTGTATTGCCTTGGCTCCTTTGTC